ACAAATGCCCTTTTTGGTAGGGATGGTGCTCTTCAGCACAGCCTTGGCTCCACAGGTGTGTGGCCCTGACTCATGAGGCAGAGCTGTCTCTTTCCTGCAGCAGGGAAATTCTCCTGCTGGCTCTGTGCCCGTCTGGACACGCTGTCTGCCTCTGGGGCTGCCTCTAAAGCATCCCTGGGCCCAGCCTGGAGAAGGAAAGTGGGTGATCCCCAGGAGATCAGCACAGCTGCTGTCAAAAGCCATGAGGAATCCCGAAAGTAAAGAGGCTTTAGCATTTGAAAGCAAAAGGGTGGACTGAGGGCAACCTCAGTCAAACAGAGAACACTGGAAGCCCGTTGGTGTTAGTGAAATGAAGGTTCCTCGTGTTGCGCCTGCAGAGACCACAAACCCACCAGGCAGCTGCCTGTGGGTGAGAAAGGGCTGCCTGACTCACCACCTTGGAACACTCCTTCGTGCCACCGTGGGATGAGTGTGGAGCTGAAGTGCAGCTTTACCCCGAGAGTGAGGGTGAAGCTGAAGCAGGAGCATGTGCCAAAAAGGGAACAAAAACTCATCAACTCAACCACAGCTGTGGCTAGAGAAGGGAAGATGGGGTTTCACAGCCTCTCTCCTCTCACATCAGGATGGCATACCAGAGGGAAGGAGGGGGAACCCATAGTGCTCCCATCCAGGCATTGCCCCTCCAGGGTTGGGAGACAGGTCCTTGCAGCCCTCACCAGCAGTGCAGCCAAACCGCTGGGTTGTTTGGATGAGGATGGGGATGAAGAGCCCTGCCAGCATCAAAGACATCAAGGTGTAGGTGCCTCCTACATCCCTAAAGCTGTTCTGGATGTACTGGTGGAAATAAAAGTCTTAGTGGTTAGCCTGAACAGAGGAAAAGCTGGGCCACTGTTGGTAAAGATGATTTTAAAAGAGCACACAGGGCCTACAGATCACCCTGGGGTCCTCACCTGCATGATGTAGGAAAAGGGAAAGCACAAATATGTGTGTATTTAGAAGCTACATGAGAGGCCATAATTCCTACCATCAATTATTTGTATGTCATGCTCTGTACACTGAAGATTTCCCCTAAGGAGTGCAGCTTTCCCTTGCACAGGTGAGCAGGACGGGGTCACAGTTCCCCAACAGATACGAAGTTTTGAGATGATGGGACTACCTACCCTAAAGGAAACTTTTTAAATCACAGCTATTCTGCATTAAAATACTTGTGGACTTTGCAAGGCTCAGCAGGAGGTAAATGTCTTCAGAACTGCAGAAGGACTGATAATTTTCAATGACAAGTCTCAGCTTGATGCCCTGTTACTAAGTGGTGTCTCAAAGGTGTCTAATGGACAGGCTGGCACTGCCTCCACTGGGGTGACTCTGGCAGGGGCTGCTCTGGCTCTGATACAAACATCAGCCATGGCTGCAGAAATGGGAAACAGCCTCTTGTTGGTTCCTCATTCTAAAGAAGAGGGGGCATATGTGCCTCCCGTGGAGAGCCCCTTCTTCCTCTTGTATCCTCTAATTCTTTAATATCCTGTTTGAACTGCAAGTTAAGATTTTAGCTTCATGCTGCACATGGAGGGTGAGACTGAAACATGGCTTTGGCTGCATGTTTTAAGTATTCACTCAAATCCATTATTATCAGGAAAAAATATGAAGATGTTTCAGTGTGTTGATGAAAAAAGGCAGATTTAAGCTTACACTAAATTTATTTGCAAAATTTGTGCCCAAGGCTTGCTCCAAAAGTGCTATGAGATGTTCCCTTTTACAGAAGATCTTTTAGAGGGTTCTGTTTCCGGAGTCTAATTATTCTGTCTTTATTCACTACAACCTAGACTTTGCCATTTCCATTAATGCAAAAACATCCCTTCACATTGAGCTGAAAAGTGCTAAAATTAAATCCCTAATTTAACTCTTAAAATGAAAATAATGTTTGGAGGGATATGTTACCAGACAGTGTAGGTTCTGCAGAGCTTGTTTTCTATTTTATCTGTGTTAACTGCTGCAGCTTTCAGGCCTTTGGCATTCATTGTTCACTGGAAATGAAATTGCACACTGTCATAACAGTCTATTAACAGCACTGAATTTCTGCAGAACTTTACCTCCTTTCTAGAAGATAACATCTCTCTTTCCTTCCAAGGATAAAATAGCTTCCTCTCTTGCAGCGATACATATAATGGTGCTATTGCTTGACAGGGATGTCAAGTTCCCTTGACTATTACAGAGAGGGGAAATGTCTTTGTTACACATTTCTGTTCTCTTTTTATCCTCTTCAGAGAGGCCCCAAGCTCAATCTAAACAAAATAAAGCCAGGGTACCATTTAAAAACAAAACCATTTTACAAACTCTTTGATCTCCCTGACTTCCTGTTCTATATACAATCGACTGTTTCTCTACATCCTTGACCACTGCAGATCTGATTTTCTCTGCAGTTTATATTGTCTTTGGCACTACACAAAATTTAACATAGCACTGGCTATACAATCTCTTAAAGAAATCCAGCCCCTTTTCAGCTTCACCTTTGCCTGTGTCCTCTCCTTTTCAGCCCTGCCACCCACCTTTCTCTTTATGTTCAAGGACCCTGGGCTTGGCCCATCTCTTTTGTTGCTCTCCTATTTTCCAGCTCTCCTTTCAGTCCATCTTGCCCTTTCCCCAGTCCAGTGAAGATCCCATAGTAACACTGGAAAAACTCAGCATCTCTTTTCCTCTGTATCTACATGCTGTTCTGGTTTTGTTTTGGTTTGTTTTCCCTGAGAAGCTTCTCCTGCCCTGCTCCAGGTCACTCTGTTGACTTTGGTCTTCTTCTCCGCCATGGTGACTTTCTCCTTCACTCCTGCCTGAATCCTGCACCATCATCTGGGAGGAGAAGAGCACCATTTACCCCTCTCCATGCCTCACTGCCAGCCCTCCATGGTCGGGCCCTGACTTCCCTTGTCCTTCCCTTTCTCCCCACCTCTAACTCTCCATGTAGCTCAGCTCTCAGCTGCATCTCAGCCCTGCCCTTCCCTCTTCTCAGATTTTAAATTTTCCAATCTGTTCATAATGCCATTTATTTTCCCTCAAATGGCTTCATGCCTTCATCCTCACTCCATTGTCTTTTGAACAATTGTCTTTTATCTTTTCTTCTTTTTTTTTTTCCTAGGGAGTGAGAATGAGACATTTTGCTGCCAACTTCCTTCTCCTTAAGCTTATTTCTTAAACTGTCTAGTGTTCATCAGTTCTGGTGTGTTAATGACTCAGGCAACATATATTAATTGTTTAGAATGAGAAGGGAGTTACATCTGATCTAGGTGAATAGATGGTAAAGTATTCAGGTCTCACTGTGTTTGTGCAAAGTGCTGCACATAAACTATTGAGCTATACAAGTAGGAACAGAAGTCTAATCCTCTACACTGGTAAACTGTTGACTTGGTCTCTTAAACATTTAATTACACTGAAGAAAAACAAAACATTGGAGCTTTAAGAACTAACTGCTCCATTAAGTGTAACATTTTAAGCAAGAGAAATGTTTTGCACACAATGGAAAGACACATCATGTCGCTCCATGCACAAAGCAGATAAATTGCTCTCTAGCTTTAGTGACAGCAGAGACAAAAGGCTCTGTCTCCCACATTGCAGCAGCAACATCTGGGTGGCTGCCTCCAGATTTCTTCCCCTACTTGAGGCATCTGTGTTCAAACAGCAGGAGCAAGAACATTGTTTCCCAGACCTCAGGTAGCCCCAACATCAGCCAAGGTGTGAAGCAGGGCTGGGGGAGCGTGATGGATGCGAGTTCTGACAGGACAGTGCAGAAGTGGGAACTGGGTTTGCATGCATCATGGGGGCATTTGCTGTTAGAATAATAGAGCTCACGGGGCTTTGAGTGGCTGGTCAGAGAATTATTTTGCAACTTGCTTTGTTTCCCTTCTTGCCTTGGAGGTATTTTATAAAATGAAGCAAATATTTCATAAAATAAAGGGCCCAGAATACAAAACCAAATTGCTCGGTAGCACAGTCACTCAGGTTACTAAGTACCAACCAAACGCAGAGCAAAGGCCAAATTCTCAGCTTCCCAAACCCCATTCCAATCCTGCCTTGCCCTGTGGCAGCTTTGTGTCCTGTCCTGCAGAGCTCTCACAACCCCAGGAGCAATGGCCCTTTCCAGGAGTCTCCTCCCAGAGAAGCACAAACTGACCATGAGGATATGACATTGATACTGGAGCTTTTCCTCCCTGCTCCCAGCACCCTTATAGCCCTTCCCCCTTGCTCCCCAGGTCCCATTTTAATAGCCAGTGGGAACTACTGCTGGCTGGGCAGCATGTAAAAGCCCCCCTTCACATGAAGTCAGGCTCCAGACCCAAAAAATCCTCAGGTTACAACTCAGTAATCATTGAGGAAAACTTGTAACTCTCAGAATTTTCAAAAGATATAAAAAATTAGCTGATTCATTTCAAATGTGCCTCAATCTCCACCTCAGCAAGCTTGGTTAAGTTTTTAAAAAGCAAGCCAGAAAACACAAGCAAAACCAAAACCAGAAGTCAGAGTTGAAAAGGACCATCTTTGTACCCTTTCATTGCAAATTTAGTTCCTTGCCTGGCTTCCTTTTGTCTTAGGAATAGTGCATCTGTCTGGAAGTGGTCAGTTCTGAGAACCTTTGCACCTCTGGTTTGTCATTACCACAGTCTGGTTAGAAGGGTGATGGTACAGGAGACAAATTAACCATGGCTCATTTATTGAGTCAGCTTCACTAAAAGAAAGGTCACCCATGAGGCCAGCCCCTACAGATGAGCAGAGATATGGGCCCATTTACTCCACACATGCTTTATCTAACAGGATATTTTTAATATCCTGTAAGTATATAGCATAGTAACACTTCTGCCCGAAGTGATTGCTACTACTGTTTTCTGTACCCTCTTGTTATGAAAATAGTCTTACTTTCAGCAGTTTGTCTTAATGACTAAAAGTCAAGTATGGCTTGGGCCATAACAACCTCTGCAGTATTACAGGGGATACTGAGATATATATGCATTTTGAACATGAACGTGTATGAGAAGCAAAAAATCATTTAGTAATTGAGCTACAGCATCCTGTCTTTTTTAACTCATGGATCTTCACACTCTTTACAAACCCGGATCTCATGCCTGCAGTGGGTTTTGGATCAGACCCCCCAAAATAAAGAAGGCAGTTCTCTTTTACCCAGCTCCTCTGTGCACTGTGGGCGTGCATCACATTTTAGTTTCTCTAAGTGGAGAGCTGCAAACAACCCTGGTGCCCTTGGGGTAGGTGGGGAAAAGAAGTGTGGCTGATTCTAAGTTGCTTGTCAGATCAACCTTGATAGCAGAGATAATGAGGGTGATGACATGGGAATAGAGATTCAGGGTTCAGTTTAATCATGGTTTCATATCAGCTGCACGGCTGCAGTTCTGCGTGACTAAGCCAAACAAGTGTTGGGTAACTGGAGTTATCTCCAGCCTCCTTAATTTTCACTCCCCCCAGCATTTGCTCCAGTGACTTTAAAATAGGTACATGTATAAATGACATCTCTAAGTGCTGATAAGTAAACAAGGGACAGACTTTTTTGTGAAGAGGTACCTGAAGTTAAGCTATGAAAGAGATTTCTAAAGGCAGAAAAAAAAGTAGTAAAGTCATAAAAATCACCTGTCTTTGAAAATCTCCATCAAGGCTGCACCCAGGTGCCTAAATTGGCTTCCTTTAACTTCACAGGGACTCTCTGAGTTCTGATGCATGGGTTTTTCAATTCTACTCTTAACTCCATGGGGGTGCGCAAGACCATTAATATTGAAAAAATTGCACTTTGATACATGACAAAAAGCTTTGTAACCAGTGATGGGGCATTATCACAAAAAATATTCCAAAACCTCATATCCAATCCAACCAGAAGCCTTACGTAGGCAGCCTTGAGCTTTGGTTTGAAATCTTGATACAGATCCAAATTATGCTGATTAGCTCATCCCAAAAGAGAATAAATCGTGTAGGCTCCAACATGTTACAATAAAGCAGTGTTTGAGGTTTCCTTAATTTGTTTGGTATCTCAGATAAATTTATAATGAATTGCATTTTCTCCATAGCACTGCTTTCTTTTGCACTGTTCCTACATCTCTTTAGTTTATTGCAAGCCTCACACAGGTGATGGTTCTTAAAGCACTTAGCTCCTGGAAACATATAATTGCATCAGAAACTCAACATTTGCTTCATTTCATCCTACTTCTTACATGGGCTAAGGTAAGGTAGGAAACGTGAACCTTCTGAGATGCAAAAAGAGCAGGAAAAGAAACAAACAGAACAAAGCAGTGTTATGATTTTAACTGCTACAATTTTAAGGCCATTTCATGTTATGCTGGGGTATTGACTCAGTAGCTTTGAGTGCTTGAGTTGGTAATTCTGCCTCCAGCCCCTGTATCAAGTGCTACACTGTGTGCTTCAACTGCATTTGGTTTGGGTTTAAGTTTTAATTTAGGGCAGTCTGCCCAGATTGCTTTCCCCTCTCCTGACAAGCTTGGCAGTGCTTTAGCAGGGCTCTGAGAGCGTTTCAGCCCCGCCAGCAAAGAGCCCTCACACAAAGCACTTTATTTCCCCCCTGAACAAATAAACAAGCAGTAAACATCGCTTCTCTCTCACACATGGAGCAGGAGCATTTCTCTGTGATTTTCTTCCCCTTCTCTGCTCTTCCTGTAGCCTGAGGAGGGCTTGTGCTTTATGGAAATGTGAAAAAACAAAGCTGCAGTTTTGCAATAGTAAGAACCCAGATGAAGGCTAAAGAAAAAAAAAGTAAACGTAGGGTTTTTGTATATGTGCCTGCCCAGCTTGTGGATTCTCTTCAGTCTCAGCTGTGTTTGAGGATCCTCCTATTAATGTGATTGTGCTCTCTTCAAAATGCAGTGAAGCTCCCAGCAGAAAAGAAGAGCAGGCATGTTGTAGTGGTTTGATTTTATTTTATTTTTTCCTTTCTTCCTTATTTTTCTTTTTGTTTTGATCCTGAGGAATGCACTTGCTGGGGTTACACATTAAACTGCCAAGAGGCAAAATCAACACTTAGGATTCTAGAGGGAGTTTGAGAAGTTGCTCCACAAATTGTGGCCTTACAGAGGTTCGCCCATAAATCTTCAAATTGTTTTTCTTATCTAAGCAAGCTATGTGTAAATATTAACATATTAATCATGGGCAAATAATTCCATGCCACTCCTTACTGCTGCTGTCTTAAAGAGGATTCTTGATTCAGATGAGAATGACTGGCCCTTTTGTGGGGCCTCAACTGTATTTCAGGTTAAAAAATTAAAACAAGAGGATAATAGCACTTCTTAATTAAGTAAGCCTCAAAAATGAAAAACCAAGGAGCCTTTAACTGTTTGTTTCAATGTAGAGGAGCCACCACATGAAACAACTGGCTAATCACTACAGTAATTGAAATTAGTAAACTCCCACTTGATTTGAGGCAGGGCTGAGCTCCAGAGCAGTTGTTCCCTGGTGTGTGTGTGTGGCTGATCAGGCAGCCTCAGCTCTGCCCAGGTTCAGCACAAATGCTGGAGCAAGCAGGCACAGTTTGAATCTGGGTCAGGATCTCCCTACTGTGCTGGTGGGGTTGGTTCCAGCACGTTGGCCTGGGTGGTTTCTGCTACCCAAGACTGTGATAAAACACTGGAACTTTCCCCTGCAGCAAAGGTCTGTCTGTTTATTTTTAATGTTCTTTGAGCATCTCCCTTGTGCACAACAAGGAGAAGTGTATTCCTTCAGGAGGATGTTCTTCCCATAGAGGGTTTGCTATGCCAGCAGTTGTGGACATGAGGCCATTGCAAATGGAACATGTGAAAACAGGGGCCTATTCATAAAAATAATATATTTATATTTACTTGTTAAAGGCCTTTGCTCAGGATATTTTTTAAAGTTCAGCTGGATATAAAATGCCCACTTCAAAAGCCAAAATGAAGACTTTAACAGATGTGCCCTGGCAAAGAAAAGGGTGTAGACACAGCAAGGAATTCAGAAGGGACAGACAGTCATATATGGACATAGGAAAGGAATCTCAAATGAAATGCTTGTGGCTGGATGCTGGACTTTCTGTGTTACCTGTAATGAGCCTCTGTGTTTGGAAGTTTTGGGTCTGGCCTATTCCTTTCTTTTTTTTTCTGGCTGCAGCTTTTTTACTGGTACTTTTTGTTCCACAAGAGACTGTGTAATTTTACATGGAGCCTGGTCATTCTAGCAACTAGAGGAGGCAAATATCTTAGAAGGAGAACCTTCTGGAGAACTGAGAATTTTTATCTTTTTTGAGCCACATGCCTTACTTATAAAAAAATATTCATTTTCAGGTTTTAAGACTTGGAACAGGCAAGTGTTTGTGTGTGCATGCAAGGAACAGCCTGACAGCAGCTACTTGCATGCAGAGTCTTGGCAGTGCTGAGCACTTGCAGGTGCTGCCACCTCACAGAGCTGGGTGTTGAAAATGCTCCACTCCATGCTGTCAGGTTATCTGCCTGCCCCAGTGGATGTCTGTACTAGCAGAGAGTCTTATCTCCAGGTTAATTGCAAGCATATTCATTTCAGGCTGTTAATGCATTTGTAAAGATTAGATCAGGACTCCTCCAAATGGTTGTGGTTCAGCTGAGGGCTCAGCCTCAGGAGGCTCTGGTGTCCCTGCACGCACCTCTCCTGTCCTCTGAGCACTGTGCAGGGGAAGATGCCTTGGTGTCCCCAGCCAGCATCCTTTATTGTCTTGTATGAGACAAAACAACCCCAAAGAACTATCCTCCATACTACTGAGTGCCACCTCCTGTCATTGACTGGACACCTGTAAACCATGTTAAGACTTACCATGTGAGGTATATTAAGATTTCAAAGCCCAGGCTTCAATGACCAGGGAAAACCAGAACTGGGATTGCCATTTTCAAAACTCAGCCAGAAGTGTGTTTTTAAGGACCACCAGGACACCCCACTTCACCTCAACAGAGCCCTCAGCAGCTTCCCCTTCCTTTATGGTCACCAAGTACTGTCCAGTTTGTAAAATGTAAATCAGAAGAGTATATGAGAAGGATCACTCTGGACATGCTGTTGCCTTTTATTTTTTTCCTTAGGCAAGAGGTAGCACCACGGTCACAGGCAGGATTCTGGCTTAACCAGACCTTTGGTCAGAGGCAGCTACGTGATTTTTACAACTACTGAGCCTCCTGGAATGTGCAGGTGAGTTAACTTGTGTGTATGAATTATTATGAATTTTCAACCAAGCAACTTTTTATTGTATAGGTATATGTTATATGTAGAGAAGAATAATTGCTGTAGCCTGAAAGGATTTGTCTGAGCTGTGTTTCAGTGTTGAAGTTAACTCTGAAGACATTAAATTTGAATGACCCTGTTTTTTTTGTGACTCACCCAGAAAGTTATTTTCCAGTAGGTTTGTTCTGAGTGATTAAGATAGGTTTGCTTGCATATAAATGCTGTTCTACATATATATATTACCCTAACCAAGGAAAGCTCCCACACTTTCCCTTGTTTATGCATATTATATGTGACATAGACTCAGAGTTAAATGTCATGGCACTTATTTACAAGTTAACATATGAATATAACCCCATTTAAAACTATGCCTTCGTTTTCACTGCTGCCCATCTGACCCTTCAGCGTGGCTGCTACTTAACATGGAGCAAATGGAGTTGAGGAGGTCACAGGCGTCCTGCTGCTCTAGTAAATCCTTATCTGCTGTGAACTTGACAGGTTTTCCACCTACCTCTGCACTGTCTTGGTCAGGGCTATTGTAAAATTCCCTTCCACACACACAGGTAGTGCCCACATAGGAAATTGTATTTAATATTTCAGTCAGTGAGCAAAAGAGAGATGGGGGCAGCACATTAGAACCTGGTTCCCAACCACTCCCTGGTTTTCAACCTAGCCACAATTGCATGTTCAGACAGCCAGGGAGGTGTTCCAGCAGGCACCAGGCTCCCTGGGGAGCAGGGCAGCTGGGGAGCAGCGCTCTGGCCACGCTTCCCGCACCTGCCTGTTCCTGCACGTCCCGCACCAGGGGCACTGGGGAGAGAGGCTGGAGCTGATGGAAGTGCCTTCCTGTCTGCCCCGGTGGTCTGAGGGACCTTAAAGCCCATCCAGTTCCACCCTGCATGGGCAGGGACACCTCCCAGCAGCCCAGGCTGCTCCAAGCCCCATCCAACCTGCCCTTCAACACTGCCAGGGATGGGGCAGCCACAGCTTCCCTGGGCAACCTGGCCCAGGCTCTCACCACCCTCACAGCAAAGAATTTCTTCCTAAAGTCTCACCTAAATCTCCCCTCTTCCACTTTTAATCCAAAATCCCTCACTCCCTACTCACTGCTTGAAGGATATAAAGTGCACACAGCACAAAGCACAGAAGCTGTTTTTCAGTCTCTGAGGCTGTTAAAAGTATTTCTAATAAAGGTACATCTGAGCGTGTTGAGGTTCAGAAGGCACCTCCTTGTTCCTCATGCTAATTTGTATATTGTTCCTGAATCAAAGACCCATTTTTTCTCTTTGTAAAAGTAAAGTTTAAGTTCTGTTCCCATTCATGGATTGATCCTATTAATAAAGAAGGTATGCATAGGTTATTTTTTTAGTAATTGTTAAGGTGCTAGTGTATGAGTAAAAGATTAAGAAATGCAGGATGGTTGTAAAAGGTTTGGGTTTTTTCTTCAAGTGGATGAACGAAGTACATGGTTTTGTCATGTTATGCAGACTGTATTTGTCTTTATTTTTCAGTAAGATCAAACTGCAGTAAGTAAAGTCCCTGAACCTGTACTATGCCATAGACATATAAAGATAATGATTGTTAAAAAGCAAAGAAAAAATTACACTGCAAAGCCTGCCTAGAGGTGGCTTCCAAGATGTCAGACATCTTGTAAACCAGCAAACAGATCCAGGCCATGCAAAACTGGGACAGTCCTGTCTTTTCCTGTCAATTTTTCCACTATGAGAGTGTCCAAACCTCTCTGAAATAAAGGATTACTGTCCAGGGGTTCAGAAAGTCCTATTTCCATAGAGCAGTTCATTCTGACAGCTAACCCCAGCAGGCACTTGAGCTGCTCTACAAAATCTAATGTCCCTAACCTTACACATTTATTCTACATCCCCACACCAAAGGTTTATTTGTTTTTGGTAGTGTTCACAGTGCTGCTGTGGCCCAAAGTTTAGATCAGTGGTTTAGCTGCCTTAGGAGTTTGTAAGGAAGTGAGACCCAGTTTGGTTTAGTGTTTAGGAAATTCTATTCACCCTTTTGCCACTAAATCACTGTACAAATGTGAGCAAACCACTAAGATCTTCCTCTCCTCCCCTTTATTGAAATTTACCCAGTTATCTCTTGCAATATGACTCTAACCAAGTGAAGCAAAGCATGGAATGGTCCCCACGATTTTCTATCCAGAACAGGTAGAAAAAAACAGAGTCCCCAGTACAAATCTGTACTGGTATCACCTTGATGTAGCATTGGCTTGCCAGGTTTGAGACAGGTCCTCCATGCTCAGTCTTCTTCTGGGCTTCTTTTAGTTTGCAAAATGAACTCAGAATGAGGAAAGTAGAAAAAGATTACCCTAAACTTCACCACATTTAAAAATTTAGTAAGTACTTATTTCCACATAAAAAATGTATTCAACTTCCCCATCTGTATTTCACTCGTTTCACATAATCAGGTTATTCTCTAATGTTGGTAAAACTATTTTAAAATGAATTTTCAGATTATTAACTAATCACCCTCAGGATCTAGGACTTTTCAGTAAAACACAGATATGCAGCACGTCACTAGCAACAGTCAGTAATTTGGGGGTCCTGCTTTTAGTGTAATTAGTATCAACTTTTGTTGGCATTGTTTTAGAAGTACTGAGGAACTGTTTTCCCTAAATGATGTTGGGATCATATACACATCTCTCTGCTTCAGACACCTCATCACTGTGAGGGTGGTGAGACCCTGGCCCAGGGTGCCCAGGGAAGCTGTGGCTGCTCCATCCCTGGCAGTGTTGAAGGGCAGGTTGGATGGGGCTTGGAGCAGCCTGGGCTGCTGGGAGGTGTCCCTGCCCTAAATCCAGAGGTCTGGATCTAGATGATTTTTAAGGTCTCTTGCAACCCAAACCATTCTATGATTCTATGAACTGAGGCAGCCAAAAACTGGGTCAGGGCAATGTTCCAAAATTTTAGTGGTGAGCCTCCAAAATTCAAGACACTCAGGGAATGTGTGTTGGGGAATAATATGAGAATGCTGGAGGGGGAAAAAAAAATAATCAAGAGAAGGGAGTATTTTATTTGCAGCCAATATTGAGATTTCAAAATTTGGTACTGTCAATTTGGAATAAAACACGTTGTTTGTCTTAAATCCCTGTGAAAACCAAGCCAGTTGCCTCTGAGGCTCAGACTCTGTCTGAACCCATAGGTTCCTAACTTGCCACAAGGCAATCTGGATGGCTGGGTGTTCTGAATCCACAGGCACTGGAAGGTTTTGGATGCTGGCTTTCCAGGAGTCTCCCCACTGGGTTGCACTGGAACCTGGAACCTGAGAACGTGGGTTGGCAAGAACCTGTGTCTGGGAGAAGCTCAGCAGCCCCGGAGGCTTCTCAAATTCAGGCTCATCCCATCTGATAGGGTGGAGAAAACTGGGAAGGGCATCTCGGATCGAAACCTCAGAATCCGGGAGCTGCGTCCCCCCCCAAACTTTTACCCCTTTGTTCCTGGAGAGCTGTTGTAAGGAGCTGTGAAGCAGCTGGTGCTCAGAAATGTGACCTACCCTTGGTGGAGGCACCTGGTGCCTCTGCAGGTGGCCCTGAGCCTCCTTGCTGCTCCAGGTGTGCCAGTCAGGGCCATTTCGGGGTGGTTGGCCAGAGAACGGGAGCTCTGAGGAACTGTTCTTCATATTTATACACTTGTTATTTTAGGGCTCAGGCTTCCTTTCAGCATGGAGGGGGATGATGTTAAGAGACCGGGGAGTGTGACAGCCCAGTCTGTCCAGTGATGGAAAAGTGAGCAGCTGGAAATTTACCTGGATGCCACCCTGAGTCAGCCAAAACCCCAAAGTATCTCGACAAAACACCTCGACCTGAACGAACTGCCACCCTCTGACAAAAATATTCCGTCTGAGAACTTCTGCCCAGCTCTGGCAGTAAACATCCCCGGGCGGTTATTTGCGCTCGATGCAGGGTAAAAAAAATGATTCGGGGTATCTGGTGCTCGGGGGGGCGGGAGGATGAGGGAATGGAACAGTAAATTGGAGCTGAGAACTGCCGATGGTGAGGGAAGGCGGCGGGGGCCGCGCCCGGGGGGCTTTGTGGCCACTGTTTGGTTTTGCTTTCCCCCCCGATGGGCTCGATCCCAGGCAGGGCTCCTTAACTCTGGGCTCCCAGCGGCTGCGCTGAGCCCTGAGGAGGAGGAACAACAACCCTGCGGGCACCCGCGCGGGGAGGCCGCGGGGTGAGGGCCCCGCTTGCCCAGGGGAGGGAAGCGGGAAGGCCGCGGGGTGAGGGCCCCGCTTGCCCAGGGGAGGGAAGCGGGAAGGCCGCGTCCTGCGGGAGGAACAAGGGAGGGAAGCGGGGAGAGCCCCGTCCCGCCCGGGCAGCGGGGGCCTCGGGGCGGAGCTGAGGGGAGCGGAGTTCCCGGCGGGCCGGCCCTTCCCTCCCTCCCTCCCTCCG